AACGGCACTAGCACCACTATCGCCACCGCCACCGCCACCACCACAGTTAATCAGACTTTTTATTTATAAAGTTAGTGGCCTAAGGCACAACTAAATTTATAGGAGTTTGTGGACCTGCTAGAGATTGCCTGGGATGGTATTATGCCAGGAGGATTTCAAATTCTGGCCATATGCTCCTGGCCTACTGGACAGTCCTAAAGTGAATTTAATTGTGCTCTGGATGTCTTAGAGCAAGCAGTTGGGCTTTTATTTTTGTAAATTGGTGTATTTACGTGTACATGAATAGGAAACCCATAGAAAGAATATGGGTCATTGCTTTAACTTCTTTGGCCAAAAAGGAGATTCAAAGTTCAGAGGTTCCATTGTTAGAAGTAACACTAGTTAAACTTTGAGAGCTTCCTTTGTGCCATGCACTGTGCTCTGCAGGCAGTAATCTCATCGGGGCTGAGGTAGCTTTTTCAGGGACTGATTGCTGATAGAATGAACTCTGGAGGCTTTACGAAAAAACAGTTTGATTCCTTCCCTTCTGGGAAAGGCAGCCCAAAGCTTCAGTTTGCTAGTCACTGCAAAGCCTCCTCTGTGTCTTATTTTATCTTCGTGACAGTCCTGTGAAGTCGGTGCTAACAGTATCTCTGTGAAAGAAACTGCTGTAGAAGCTGGTGTTTAGAGACGTGAAAGCTTTTGCTCAACGTTGCACAGCTTACAAACCAAGTCTTCTTCCAGGTCTTCTCTTCTCGGCTAAATAGACATCCTTCTTCCCACTGTCCTTATCCTTTGCTGCCAGTAACCTTCGTGATGTCCCTGAGCCATGGGAGGAACTCACCACTGCTTCAACACTAGCAGGGAGGCTAAAGGTCTTCTAGCTGAGCTTGCAGGGAGACTATCTCCCCTGGGGAACTGCAAAGCAAAAAAAAAAAGTGGGTGAGGAGGGCAATTTTGTTCCCATTAGGTCTGAGCTATGTACTGGTTTTGGCGATATTCTTGTCCCAGGAACAACAGTATCGTAAGAGGGCCGATTTTTTTCTGTTTAAGTGCTACTTCCTCCTTGTCTTCCTGGCTGTTCTATCTTGCTGGCCCCTAAAATCCCTCCCTAGTCTTGTCTCCACCCTTCCTCATCATCCTCTTCTGCCCTTTTTTTCTGCCCCACCTTCTTCTTAGCCCCAGCTCTTCAAGTATTTTAAATTGTTATTGTTGTTCTACTAGGAGCAGGGAGGGTGGAGGCCTCTTCCAGAGGCTTTTCCTCCTCTTCTCCCTCTAGCCCTCATTCCAGGCTCCACCCTGGTAGCTTGTTGCCTGGCATTCTGGAGGAGGAAGAGAGGCAGGGGAATGAAGAGGAAGAAGGGCAGCAAAGAGCAGCATCTTGTGAGCCCTAGGTGTCTGCAGGCTTCTCCGCCATATTTTATTAAGTTCAGTATGTAATTTAATTCTCACCTTACCCCCTTGGTTCTTTTTTTTGAGACAGGATTTCTCTGTTTAGCTTTGTAGACTAGGCTGGCCTCGAATTTACAGAGATTCACCTGCCTCTGCCTCTGCCTCTGCCTCTGCCTGTGCCTCCCGAATGCTGGGATTAAAGGCAGCACCCCTCTTGGTTGTTTAAGCACATAGAGGGGGCTTTAGGCTGCTGCAGCAAGCACTTAGTCTCCCTTATGCTTTGGGTGAAATGGAGCAAGTTGAAGATATTGCAGATTGCTATTTGCTTTATCTCTTAAGCCACCTATGAAAAGGGGAGCCTGTGGTACTTCCTAGAAGGAAGAAACATTGCATCTTCTTCATGTCTGCTCCCTTACAAGTTTTCATCTTACCTAAGTGTCATCAGCCATGCTGATTATTGATAGGGCAAGTGGCAAAGAACAAGGGTGGGCGTGGCTCAGTGGGTGAGTGCTTGCCAAACATACACAATTCACTGGCTTCAATCCACAGTATGGAAAAATAAAGAACAGAGACAAAGATTATCAAGGAAAACTCCATCTTTACCACCAACTGTGGAGCTAGGGTACATAGTTCTTTGTGAGTCACCTTTGAGTTTTCATTCAAGCAAGACAGATATCCTATCTAAAAACTTCAAAGGAAAATGTGACCCAAAAGACTGGGTATGATGAAGTCAAGGGCTCCTACTCTGAAGTCTCTAGGAGAGAGTGGGTGGTTTTGTTTTATTTATCCCTCTAATGTTCAACATGCTTCTTATTATAGCATAGGTGCTCAGTATGTTTCACTGACTAAATGGAAGCATGGATGGGAAAGAATCTCAAGTTTAAGGCTTAATAATTTGTTTTTTTTTTCAAAATCTGAATTTGCTAATCTGATACAATGTTTTCTATGCAAATACAGTTGAGGCAGAGAAAAACAAGCATATAAAATAAATTTGATAACCAGAAACACTTTTAGCAAGATGGTTTGACTGTCTTCAAATGGACACAACTTCATAAGAAGCCTGCAGAGATTGAGCAAAGAATTCACGATGACTGAAGGGTATATCTAACATAGATAAAGAATTCTAGTGGCTATTGAAATCAGAATTTATTACAGAAGTCTACCTATTTTAATTTTTCAACATCACAAAAGTCTTTGTTACAAACAGTTTTACATCCTTGAATTTAAAACTGTCATTACTGAAGATAGCCTTGAACTAATGAAAAGTTGTTTTTTAGTAATACTCCCCAGATTTTATACATTAATAGCAAGAATTCAAGGAATAAAATGACCCTTTTTTTAAAAAGAGTATGTAGAGTTGTACATTGTATGGCTTTTACTTAGTAAGTCTTAACCTTGTAAGCAGGTCAGTGGTGGGTATCGGCAGCAGTGGAAACATGGGATAGAGAAATAGTTCGGCATTTATAAAAGCCCCTCCTACTGGGACATTCTTTCCAGTAGTAAGTACTTATACATGCTGATTAATCTTTGTTCCTTGGTTTCTACATTTGAAAGAGATAGTGATAAGGCCTACTTATACCACTGTCAGAATGATTCAGTGAAGCTCAGAACAGAGCTCAGCACATAGTTACTGCTCGATAACTATCATTGCTAGTACTACCCAGCATCTACATTACAGACCTAACACCTGAGATCTAGCCTCCATGTCATTATAATGTAGTAGTAGGGATAAGCAGTTGTATTAACACATTGATACTTAGAGGTGCAGCAGGAAATGGTCAGTACTTCCTGAATGAATTAAATAAGGAAAGAGGATGACCTTTAGTTGGTCTTTTTAAAGATGGACAGGGAGTTTAAACAGACATTTCAGGCAAAGAAGGTAAGGTGTCTCATGGCCCCAAGATTGGAAAAAGCCTGGAATTATCAGGAGTTTTGAATCTAGGTAAGATCTAGTAGAAGAGCAAAAACCCTGCTGCTTGAGATACGGGCAGGCTTCAGATCATCAAGCAAGTGGAAGGATTCTGGGGTGTTACTTTGAATGTTTAGGTGCTGGATGAACTACCAGTGGAAGAACAGATTGTTTGGAGATGGAAGGAAAATGAGATGTCTAAAAGACATCTGAGCAGAAATAGCAATTAAGCAAATGGACATCATACTTGCTGGGCACATACTGAGCTGTGACCCTCAGTTTCCTCCTCCTCCTCCTCCTTTTTTTGGTTTTTTGAGACAGGGTTTCTCTCTATGCAGTTTTGTAGCCTGTCCTGGCACTCGCTCTGTAGAACTGACTGGCCTCGAACTCACAGAGATCCACCTGCGTCTGCTTCGAGTGCTGAGATTAAAGGCGTGCATCAACACCACCAGGCCCTTATTCTTCTTAAGAAGCTGACACTGCATGCCTGTAAACTCAGAACTAATGAAGTTGAGGCAGGAGACTGGTGAGTTTGAGGATAGCTTAGGCTATAACATTAGCCTGCGCTCCATTGTAAGACTACCTATCTCAAATAAACAAACAATAACAAAAAACGAGCTGAGAACATATCTGAGTGGTAGAGTGCTTGCTTCAAATATACTAGGTCCTGACTTCAATCCCCAGTCCTCCCTGATGGGCATAAAAATATAGTGCTACCTGCTTTCCAGGGTTGTTACCAAGAATAAAGGAAAGTGGATGACTATAATGGTACCTGGCCCAGTGAACTGCCCATGTGAGAGGCTGAATACATGGAACCTATTATTATTTCTCTTGCTTGGCTGCTCCTTCCCTTGCCATCCTTTGTTTCTTCTTTCTCTTTGCCTCCCCTTTGAAGGAAATGTGGCAGGGAAGAGGCACTGGAAGGAGGCTTTGGTTGTCTGTGACTTCCTGGGTTTCCATTAAAATGGGCTAGAGAAGGGTTTTAAGGCAAGGACAAGGAAATGCTGGAAATGTGGCTTCTAGTCTATGGATTCAGTTCTTGAGGGATGTTAGCCAATGCTTGGCTGAGAGGCAGTCTCAGGGGGTTGAGAACTCTATTCTTAGAGAGCTGGTTGGTAGCTGGGAGACTCAGAAAGCCTTTATGAACTCTCCCTGCAAGGGCCACAGGGTGTTAGTAATTCATCTTCAACTCATTTCCCCCACCTTCTCCTTATACTCTCACCTTCTCTTATCTATTGCTAGGAAATGCACCCAGCTCCTTTCCTCTTTCCTCTTAAGCGTCATCCCTAAAAAGACACTGTGACCCCTCTGTCCTTGCTAGTGTCACACGTTGCCATGGAGAACTGGGAGGGTAAAAATCCGCTTTCAGTTATCTTTCTGGTACTCCCCATTCCGCATCCCTTTCTTCCTAGACATCCCTTACTCTCAGTCACCACACCCTTCTCACCCTCCCCTAGAGAGCTTAAATCCTGGTGGATAGGTGACCATGTCGTGTGGTGTGCCCGAAAATCCTTGTCAAGGACTGAGGATTCACTGAAACTGATTTTAGTTGTACCTGCTGCTGCAGGAGGCCAACAGAGAGAGCTGGCCGCCAGGGGCGAGGCCAGCTCCTGGCTCCTAGGTCTCGCCCCACCCCCTCCCCTGTCCCTCTGCCTTCTCTGCCCCACCCATCTCCACCCCCTCCTACTCCACTCCCCTCTAGCGGCCACTTGTCCCTTTTAAGGAACTCCACCCTAGGTGGAGTCCTCATGGTAGTCACACCTCTCTTCTGGGCCTAGTCTGCCAGAGAAAGAGCTAAGCACTCCACCTACTCAGGTTGTTCAGCGAGCGCGCCAGGCTCTGACCCCACGGGCGTGGTGTACCAGTGGGGCGGCCAGGTACCACCGGAAAGTCTCTCTGGCGTGCTCCACCGGGAGTGCCTCCCACTCGTGTGGGAGCCCCTGCCCTGGGCCGGTGTTTTCCTATATGTTTCGACCAATCGCCAGCGTCTTTTCCTCCTTTCTTTTTAGGAAGGCGCCGGGTGTGCAGCGCTAACCGCTGTGTGGAGGGGATCCTCTGGCGCTGTCTCCTTGTGGGTCTTCACTGACTCCTCCGTCTCAACTTTGCGTTCAAGTCGTGATCTGAGGTTTGGGTGCTTTGCCGGGACCCCGCCCCGTGTCTCTCGGGGAGGGTGTGAGGAGTTCTGAGGTGGGTGGAGAATGGGCTTGGCCGGAACTGAATCGGTTGAGGTAAAAGGGGAACGCAGGAGCTTTAGCGCTGGCCACTTCGCCCCGAGAAGCCGCTGTATTTTTAGCACAGGGAAGGCTGCAGTGGGAGGATTCTTTTTAGGAAGTCTGCTCCGCCGCCCCGATTCGGGGCTTGGATGCTTGAGAGCTTTGTTTCCCTTGTTCCGAGGGTGGCCCAGTTGGGTCTGAATCGACTCCCTCCCTTTTTCGTTTCCCCCATCCTTTTCCAGTCAGGAGAAAACAGAGAGGTGGGGGACCAAGGAAGAGGAGACTAAAGCGCGTTGCCAGGCGCGCTGTCAGACATGGGCGGGTGTGAGGGGAACAGCTGTCTTGAGATTAGCTCAGTAGTATGAGTCTTGGGGAGGACTGGACTGCATGATCTCCGGACACTTCAGGAGTCCTCAGCTAGAGACACAGGCGGTAAGTGACTCGGGAAAGAACCCACTCTCGTGTCCTCATAACTACCCCCCCCCCCCCCCCGCGCGGCCTCCGCCGCCGCTGCCGCCGCCAACCGCACACACCCACTTGGCTTTGGGTTTTAGCAGTGAAGTGGGATGGGGGGCGTGCGAGCGGAAGGGGTAAGAACATTATGTGGAATCAAATTAAACTCAAGGGAAAATGACTTCCCTTAAGGATTGTGAAGAGAGACTAAGAGGAGGGGCTACTTCAGGGGGCCTTGTGGAAGAATTGAAAGGGGTCAAGAATGGATAGGTTTGTCTTGTTCAGTGTGTCCTGTCTCCGTGCTCTCAATTCTCCTTAAGTGGTTTGTTTTAACCCCATACATCCAAAGTCTCAGCAAGAGCAAAGAGGATTTGGAAGACCAGTGATCCCACTTACGTCACCCCCTCCCTTCCCCCAAGCAGTAGCAGGTACCTGGAGATGCTTCTCAAAAGAGGGAGGAGGGGCAGCGAAGAGTTAAGTTGGGAGCCTGGCCTCTTGGTACTGATGGCAAGATCCCTTCAAGGAACCTCTGAGGAGGAGCTGGTTAGGGCGTGCCAGCTCTTTAAGGAGGGACAGAGCTTGGTTGCTGGGGGAAGCCAAAGCATAGCCCTGTCTAGGCTCCTTAAGATGTGGCCATGAGGTTAGTTCGTGTAGGTGGATGATCAGCCGGAACTGCTGTGATTACTGGAGCGAAAGGACTTGCTTAGCCACAAGGTGAAGCTTTTTGTACTTTTTTGACCCTAAGAATTTTAAAGAAGCCAGATCACATCCTAACAGGTGGCCAGGGGAACAATACCATATTTTCTCTAATATTACCATCACTGGGAAAATTATAAAGTACATGTATGCCACTTAGTATGTAATAGTGACCGAGAGAAGAGAATAATATCTAAATTTGGATTTTTAAGCTGAAGATAGTTGGTTTGGAATAAAATGATCTACGTTGAAACCCTCCTATCACCACTAACTGATTGTATGATGATGAACCTTGCTTCTCTCTGTAGGATGCATATAAAAAATTCTTACTTAGAAGATATATATGACATATGCTGCCAGTACTTTGCTGTGTTTTTCACTTTCTTTTCCTACTCTTTGGGGTTTTCTGTCTGGAGCACTGCTGGTCAAATTAGTACTTTCCTGTCCGTAAAACACCTTTCAGACGAAGGGAACGAAGGCTTGTGCATTTTGACTAGTTCTCAAAGGGAATGAAGGCTTGTGCGGTTTGACTATTTCTCGCAAAGACAGGCTGGAATATATGTCTTATTTGTTTGTGATTTAACATTTTTCCCACTGGATTTTATCAGTTGCAAGAGAAAAGGCCACTAATCTGCCTATCTTCTGATTATTTGGTCAGTTTAACCAAGATGATGTAACCAGCAGGACCTTTGGACAGAAAACCAGTGACTCAGATATGACTTTATCCTCTTCTTCAAAGTTTGGGGGTAACCCTTATGAGAGAGACATTAATCCTTGGAAACTGCTGATGAGAAAGACTAGGTACAGTGTATCTTCCTGTTAGCTTAGAGGGCAGCTAGGCAAAAATCACAGGACGGGTGGAAATAACACTTAAAATGTGTAAGTGACAAATGTAACTACCCAGTCTGTTCTCAAGACCAAACTGCATAAAGGCCTGCTCTACCTTCAAAGCGTCAGAATGTTCTAGAATCCTCTTGCTTTCAGAGCTCAGAGGAAAGAAAATTGGTGGGAAAAAATGATCACTACAACCACCCTTGATTTTTCTGGCCAATGTATTTCAGCGACGTGGCTCTTAGTGGTTCTACTTTTTTTTTTTTTAATTGCCAAGATACCAAAACTAGATATTAGTTGTTACAGAATGTTTTGTTTCTTATGTGAAGAGGTGGAGATCAACTTCACATGTTTTTGTATTCTGGCAGGGGCTTATTAATGTTTGATACATTTAGATGTTTTATTTATTTTCTTATTTATATTTTCATTATATTTATTTATGTGCTTTTGTATGTATCTCGATGAGTAAATTGCTGCCTGTGTGAAGAAAGCAGAATTACTGGTGACTGTGAGCTGCCCAACATGGGTGCTGGAAATGAAACCTTGGTCCTCTGGAAGAGTAGGAACCACTCTTCACATGGAGCCATCACTCCAGCCCGGGACATCAATATGTTTACCTTCGCTTTGAGTCAGTTGTAATTTATGAACTCTCTTGAGCTGTTGAATTAAGGAAAAATAGTTTGGGGATACATAATTCATTTAGCAAATTGACATACTGGATATTAGGGTCTGGGAAAATGGTATTTTGTTTGTTTACTTCTTCGTATTATTGGGCATTGAAACGAGTATCTGGTATATCTGGCATTTCATTGGAATTTAAAAACAGGTATGAGGGTCTGTGTAGCCGCGCTGGCCTGGCCCTTAATCCTCCTGCCTCAGCCTCCCATGTGCTAGAATTCTAGGCATGAACCATTGTAACCACTGAGAAGTTTTTAAAGCTTATTTTGTTTTAAAGCACTGCTGTATTTTGGTTATTTGTATTCATAACTAAGCCCCAGTCCCTTTGAGACTGAGAGCTACTTGATGACACTCGGTATCATTGTGTCTTCATAGTACTTACCCAATTACCTTTCCCTTGTGAACACTTGGTACATATTTTGGAGATTGTGATCTAAGGTCTTATTCTTTTTTTAGTGTTTTGAGACAGGGTTTCTCTGTGCAACAGTCCTGGCTGTCCTGGAACTTGCTCTGTAGACCGAGCAGGCCGGCTTCACAGAGATCGTCTGCTTCTGCTGAGTGCTGGGATTAAAGGCGTTCACCACCACCACCACCTCGGGGGGCCTCCGGTCGTATTCTAAACTGCCATATTTTTTGTAAGTGAAGAGAAAACTGGTTAGTGTGATTGACCTAAATGATCATCCAGTGTGGTTACAATTTAACTACTAAGTAGAGTATGAATTGATGAGTGTTATCTCTCCGTTCAAAGACAAATTGAGACCATGTTTGGTTTTCTTTCTGACTTTCAGACTGATGTTATTTATTTAGATTTTATAAGTAGAAGTCGGATTTCTGTTCTTTTTATTAACCCCAACTGAACTTTATCGTCTAGCCTCTTATTTCTAAAATGATATGTTCCTTTGTGGTTGTAAATAACGTACTTAAGTGAAGGGTCTCACCAATTTTGCTCTATTGTCTTACTTTAATGTTGTTAATGTCTGTCTGACGGGGAGACATCTCATATAAATTATTGAGCAGGGAGTTAGTTATAAATGTCCAGAACATGCTAGATGGTCTGTATAATATGCTAAAAAGATGTTATCTGCATATTGAGGTTTTTAAAAACTACAATGTGATTTTTTTGGTAGTTTTTTGTGGTGCTAGGAATTAAACTTAAGGGTGTTACATGTGCTAACTTGAATGTTCTGCCACTGAACTGCATCCCTAGTCTGTGAGAGTTTGAAGGTTCAATAATGTAACACTAGCACCTTGTTAAGATATTTCAAACCTTCCTGGTGGTGGTGGTGGTAGTGGAGGCGGCGGCAGCAGTGGCAGAGACAGTATCAGCAGAGACGCACACGCCTTTGATCCCTGCACTCCGAAGGCAGGCAGGCAGGCGGATCACATAGTTTGAGGCCAGCGTGGTCTACAGAGTGAGTTCCAGGACAGCCAGGGCTGTTAAACAGAGAAACCCTGTCTTGAAAAACCAACTGCCCCCCACCCCTACACACAGAGATATTTCAAACCACAAAAATTTTGGCATTTTCTGTAACCACCACCTTACCATTTCTAAAATAGAGACTTTCCCTTTGCCTTTCCCTGTTCTACAACTTGCCATTAACATAACCTTGGTGAAGTTATTTAAACTATGCGTTTGAATGTTCTCTGTGTATTAGGGATCACAGTGGAGACTACTTGGGATTAAATGGCAGTGAGGAACATACTGCTCCCTGTGAAATGCTTGTGGAAATTAATTTTGTGAAAATGCTTTACAGAATTTATGAAAGTATAAGCAGTGAGAAAATGTAGTTGTAGTTGTTGTGTTTCTCATGTCTTTTGCACAAAATACAAGCCTTTTCTTCTTTCTTAGGTTCCTTATCCATCTAGTTGGCAAAGTATTTTGTTGCCTGTCTTTGTTTCCTAACAAATTTTTTTATCCTAAAAGATGCCACAGCCTTAATTTAGACCAGGGGCTTAAAAAAATTGCCTCTATAACCAATTGCAGCTCATACAAATATTTTTTCCCTAAAATGTTTTAAACTCTCATTTAACAGATATTTACTTATTTTTTCTTCAATACATAACATTCCATATGGTTCAAGACCCAACATAAAAAAAAAGGTTACACAGTGAAAACTCTGCCTCTTATTCTTGTCCATTAGCCACTTATTCTTCCTCACTGGAGGCAACTAAAGTTATTAATTTATTGTGATTCTTTGTAGAGATATGAAAGTATATAAAATATTGAATACACACATGCACATTGTTCAACTTTTTTCTTTTATAATTTTAAAATCTTGATTCTTTTTTGTTTTGTTTTTATGCATTTTAAATTAAAATATAATTATATCACTTTCCTTTTTCTGTCTCTACATGTTTATTTGCCTTTTAAATCCCTTAATATTTTTTAACTTAATTTTGAGATTGTAACTTAATTATATTTCTCTCTTCCCTTTTATACACAAATAGTAACACATTCTGCATATTCTACCATTTGCTTTTTCTACTTAAAAATATACTTTGGAGATATTTCCCTATAAGTTTATAAGAATTTCTCATTGTTCTGTGTGACTGTACAGTTTTTTTATTGTATTGTTAGACCACAATTTATTTAACCACTCTTGTATTGGTCAACATTCAGGATATGCACAAAAGTCTGTAGTGTTTCTAACAGGAATGAAAACTCAGTAAGTAGTATATAAAGGATTGTTATAACAAACTGTCGGTAACTGGGTGCTTTAAACAACAGAAATTCTATGTATCTAGTTCTAGAGGCTAGAATTCAGAGATCAGGGTCTCAGCATAGGTGACTGTGTCATGAGAGCTGCTTTCCTATCTCCCAGATGACTGCATTTTTTTTTGCTGTATTCTCAATGTCTTTCTTTGTTTAAGTGAAGAGACAGAACTCTCCTGTGTTGTTTCTGTGGTTAGAGCACACATCTGTATGACCTCACTTACATTTAATTATTTCTATAAAGGCCATATCTCTAAATATAGTCACCTCAGGAGTAAGGTCTTTCACATATGAATGGGGGGCATCAAGCCACTTGGCCTAATCTCATACTCTTCAAAATTGACTGATTGCCAACATTTTAAAGTTAGATTTCATTTAAAATCTAGATTCTATTTTCTTTTAAGTAATTAGATGATAGGATAAGGTAAGATTTTATATGATATTTGAGAGCAATGAGTCTTTGCTACTGTGGCCTTTTATTCTATTTCTCAACTGATACTTAAGTGCTGTGTGCCAATTGTGATTGATGCACATTTATGATTAATACCAAAATTAGTGAGCACCTTTACTCTTTGTCAATAACAGAGATTATTGTGAAGGTATGAAAGCTCCCCATTATTGTTTTCAACTTTACCAAAATATTCCGAAGGGCAGGGGTGTAGTAGGTTTTTTTTTATTTAAAAATTTTATTCTTTGAGAATTTTATACATGTATATAATGAAATTGAACATATCCTTTCCAACTTTCCTCCATATGCCCCCACACAACTTCATTTTCCCATCTTTTTTTTAAAAAAAAAAAACCCACTGTCTACTTAGTGCTACCGATATGTGCATGGATGTGGAGCCATCTACTGGAGGGAGCATATGCAACCTACTAATGGCCACACCCCCAAAGAATGTTTCTCTGACTCAGCAACAATAATAGCATCTTAGTTAGAGGCAGAGCCTTCTGGGCTTCTGCATTCATGCTGGACTTTTGTAGTTCTTGTGCAGGTAACCACAGCTTCTGTGAGTTCTTGAGTGTAATAGCCATGTCATCTCAAGAAGAAAACATTCAAGTATTTTTAGGTAGAAAAAGAGCTTTTGTATTGAGCATCATACCCGATTAGTTCAATCATTTCCATCTTGCATGGCTTTAGCATTGCTTAATTGCTCTGATCCTATATTTCCTTGTGTATGTATGGCATCAACAGTACTATCTGTTTTATGCTTGTATAAGAGAAAAATGGGGCTTAGCAATCACCATCTGAGGAGAGGACAAATGGATGAAAACACTAGAGGCTATGATACTTGCCACCTGCATGACTGAGGAGCAGGATGTGAACCTCCAGGATTGTAAAGATAAATTGATTTTAAAAAATAATAAGACAGGTGTCACACTAAGTCATTTGGATCTTTACAATGTGGCTGTATTTTTGTACCTTTTGTGATTTTCCTGATGGAAGTGATCCTTGGTGCTAGAGAGATGACTCAGTGGTTAAGAGCACTGGCTGCTCTTCCAGAGAACTCGGGTTCAATTCCCAGCACCCACATGTCAGCACACAAGTGTCTGTAACTCCAGTTCCAGGGGACGTGACATACTCAGACATATGTGCAGGCAAAACGCCAATGTACATAATAGTTGTGAGGATTAAATGAGCCAATTGTGTATTTTATTTCTTTAACAGGATAACAGTGTCATAGCTGGGATATAACTCAGTGGTAGAGTACATGCCTAACATGTTGAAGGCCCTGAGTTCTATACTATTTACTGCAGCACTCTCAAAAAGCAAGCAAAAGAAAAGGAGACAAAAACAAAAGCAGTAGTCTTGTCTTTCCATCATCATTTCATTAACACCATGTTATAGTTAAACAGTGAACCTGAATTATATCCTAAATCCCTTTTCCAGCACTAACATGACCCTGTTTTCTTACGAGATATATAATAAAACAATGTAGAAAATATATGTATGCTACTTTAAAAATTTGGAATCTCAGAATTCTAAAAATAT